ATTCAAAGGTTTCATGGCCAGGCATGGTGGCTCACATCTGTAGTCCCAGTACTATGGGAGGCTGAGGTGGGTGGATACCTGAGGTCAGGAGTTCAAAACCAGCCTGGCTAACATGGCAAAACCCCATCTGCACTAAAAACACGAAGAAAAGAAGTTTCAGTGTCATCCAGTTGTCACTGAGCATGTGCACGCTAAATACGTTACGAAGTTATCTGTAGGAATGGAGAATACGGCCAACAGCAGAGCCAAAACAGTTCATGTATTTTGCCTCTAAACAGCTGAATAATACAAACCTTTGGATAATGGAAACTGCTGTGTTAAATATCAGGGTTGCAGCCTCACGATGGCAGACTGGCAGACAATTTCTGTCATCGCACCTCTGCCTCTTTTGCTGGCTGTGTATAAACACAGGCGGCAGCAGTGCTGGCGTGAGCAGGTGTGAATAGACGCACAGCAAGGTATATTAGAAATAGGGCAGAGAAGTAAATACTTCAGATCACTCCTTAGCCAAGTTAATGGAGAAATGCTCACTGAATCCAGTATTATGCCTGGAAGCAAGGGATTGAATAAAATAGGTGTTGGAATGATGGTAAGCAAATACTACATTAAAAAATCAACTCTATTTAGTTTGGATACGTGCTAGTTGTCAATACTATCAAAGAAAGAGAGTAACAAAGAACCCAATAAATTAATATGGGACGCCCCACAACATCTAAACATAAGGTCAGTAGTTAAAACAGAATATAAAAGAAAAAAGAGGCAAAACCTCCCCTGATTGCAGAACTTAACAGTAACGTCCTTATTTAAACATGTTTCAGTGTGTGTTTACATGGATTCACTGACTCACAGCTCTTGGTAAAGCATCAACTTTTTTTTTTTTTTTTTTTTTTTTGTAGTGCAGTCTGATTCTCTAAGAACCTGATGAGTTTCTTTGAGCAAGAAGTAGCAGCCCAATCTAGCTCAGCTGTACTCAATCTGAGTTGCTTTCCTACCTACAAACCCTCACTTCAAAGCAAGGAACATAATGTACAATTTTTTAATGGCTCTAGACCCAGGCACTCAGCCGCTCTGCTCTGCGCCTTACCTCAGTGTAAACACCTCATCAAGATTGCCTGCGCTTCAACAATAGCAGCCAAATGCAATTCGAGAACCACAAGCCTTTGAAGTCCTCCCTGCAAAGGCCGGTTTTCTAGTCTGGGATAATGACAAGCCATGATTGCTGTCTTTGTTGTATCTTTTCAGTAGAGAAGCAATTATAGGCCCCAATTTAACAGAATAGACATTACACAGCTTATGATGCTCAAAATGCAATTTCATTTGATCATTTTCTCAATTTGATTGGTATTAATAGAATGGTTCACAAAAAAAAAAAAAAAATAGCTGGCAGAGGTTGTGTCCCATTCCACTTTCAAAGAGATAATGTAGAAGTATGCTTTACTTACCCAGGGATCTCACTGGGGTGATTCAGCCACTGAGTTCTACCAAAACAGCCTGTGGAGGGAAATAGTGAATATCCTACATTTTATGGAAGAGGAAGCACGGGACACTGTATTTTTAATTTGCAAACTTTTCACCAGTGCTACATAAGAGATTCCATCGTTGTCAATCAAACAGTATCAACAGACCTGAATTAACTAAACAAAGTCCCCTTTATTTCTTAGTCATTCATAAAAGTCAGGGAATCAGCATCCTCATGGCAGATCTGTGAAAGAGTTCAACTTCTTTTTTTCCCAGGCTCCAGATGACAGTTGGTCTGAGTCATCCCCACTTTGAGGTTTGCAAAGGATTATTGCCTTGCCTGCTAAGTCTGCTTAGTTAGGTTTTTTTACTCTTGACCTTCATTTCTCTTCTAGGACAGAGTTGATTTTTCTTTTATTTTTGTTTTTTATTTTTCTTATTTCTTCATCCAACATGCCACATCAGATTTTTCTTTTAAATGAGTCGTGTTTCTGTCGAACATCATAGTCATATAGGATTGAAACCTTTGCTATAATGTTGAGAAAAGTTGTGAAATCTAATACTTTTATAATGAACTGATGTTTTATCTTGAACTAGCATTGTGAGAGGGACTGAGGGAGAAATATGAGAAATGGTGGGTATAGTGGCTTACGCCTGTAATCCCAGTGCTTTGGGAGGCCGAGGCAGGCCGATCACTTGAGTCCATTAGTCTGAGACCAACCTAGGCAACATGGTGAAACCCTGTCTCTATTAAAAATACAAAAATTAGCTGGGCATGGTGGCACATGCCTGTAGTACCAGCAACTTGGGAGGCTGAGGCAGAAGAACCACTTCAGCCCAGGAGGCAGAGGTTGCAGTGAGCCAAGATCATGCCACTGCACTGCAGCCTGAGCCACAGAGCAAGACCTGGTCAAAAAAGAAAGAGAGAGAGAGAGAGAGAGAGAAAGAAAAGGAAAGAAAGAGGGAGAGAGAAAGAAAGAAATATGAGAAATAGTTCCTGACCTCGAGCAGCAGCATTTATAGTCCTAAGCTTTTCATTTCAGCACAAGTTGAACTGTTTCATGATGCGAAGTTTTCCATTTGCAGTGTAGGTGAATCATTCAAAACCTGGTGGTTACTTCCATTTGTAATCAGAAGAATTCCATGATCAAATAATCCACTTTTGTGTCATGTTTTAGGAATGAAATTTCAAGCACAAAAATGTTGAGAATTTTTCATTTTTTCCCACTTTCAGATCAACCTTTAAGTATTTTAATTTTCATCCCATCTATCTGCCCTCTCTCTATACATAAGTACTACAATTGTGATAGTGACTTTAGTAGAGTTAATAGAGATAGTTCAGGTAGAAATAAGGTTATACCCAAAATAAAAGAAACAAAATGTTGTCTTTGTCCAGGGAAGCCATATTGAGTGGTAAGGAATGAAGATATCTTCATTGTCAAAGAGTTATTTATCACTTAATATTTAACACATGTTTTACCTCTTTCTGCATTGAATACAAGTCTGAAGTCAAAGTAAACAGCAGAGGGGAGGTCTGAACACAAACAGGACAGATCCCAAAACCCAAGTTCTTCCTAGTTGTACACCTTGCTGCTTCTCGACTACGCAGCCCACCAGAGGAAATGTAATAAGATGCATGTAAAGTGCTAATCTAAATTTTAAAACTAATTACATCAGTTCAGAAGGGAGAGACTCGACAGCATTTACAGGCAGTGGAGCAGAGAGTAGGCAGAAGGAGGCTGACCTGAGTAATGCAGCACAGGAGGCTGAGACAGGTCCTCTGAATAAGAGGACACTCGCCGGGCGCGGTGGCTCAAGCCTGTAATCCCAGCACTTTGGGAGGCCGAGATGGGTGGATCACGAGGTCAAGAGATCGAGAAACCCCGTCTATACTAAAAATACAAAAAATTAGCTGGGCATGGTGGTGCATGCCTGTAATCCCAGCTACTCAGGAGGCTGAGGCAGGAGAATTGCCTGAACCCAGGAGGCGGAGGTTGCGGTGAGCCGAGATCGTGCCATTGCACTCCAGTGTGGGTAACAAGAGTGAAACTCGATCTCAAAAAAAAAAAAAAAAAAAAAAAAAAAGCACACTCATGGGAGACCAGAGTCAGCTTCTACCCGCGGAGAGCTGTTGTCTGAAGAAGGGATTAGCCTGTTCTGTGTTATTGTTATTCCAGAGGGCAGAGGGATAGAAAATAAGAAAGACATAGATCTGCTCATATAAGGAAGAGCTTTCTGGCATTTAGTTTGCTCAGTTTGGGAGCAATATGTTCATCATGCATGAAACAGATTTCTTTTCTCCTCATCAACTCATAGAAGATCTTTAAACATATACTAATACTGACAAACAGGTAAGTCTTGCCAGGAGATGAATGAATTTAGACAGATAGAGAGTAAACATCTACCAGGGGTGGTGTGGATGTACCTGAGGTTGAACTGGATTGTCTCCAGAATCTTTTCCAGCATTAAGGTTGCATAACTTTAAGTTTGCTTCCTGCCATACATCCTCATGGCTAGAATGCCACATAGCCAGACACTAATTTCGTGATTTAAAACAGGTAACTAATGGAGGCAATGAAGGGCTCTTAAATAATTTAGGGACCTAAATCCTGTGTAGCTGCCTGCATTCGTGGTTCCCAAACTTGGATACAGATTAGACCCACCTAGAGGGCTTTTTTAAATTATTCATTTGAATAGTAGATAGGAAACTTTTAAAATATATTGATATCTGGGGCCACCCCCAGAGCTTATTATTTAATGGATTTGAGGTGGGATCAGGGCATTTGTATTTTTTTTAAAATTTCCTCGGTTTTCCTAATATCTAACTAAAGTTGAGAACCACTGACCTTCCGTTATTCAAATTATCTGAGTACCAAAACTACTAATTGTGCAGGTCTAGGATAACTCACTTTCTAATAAGTGAGTTAGCAAAATAGTTGCATGTGCAGGCTCTGGAGATAGACTACCCAGCTCTTCTACTTACTAGCTGTTAATCCTGGGCAAATTACTTAACCTCTCCGTATCTTTGTTTTCTCATCTGCAAAAAGGGGGTAATAACATATGCATACCTAATAAGGTTGTTGTGAGGATTACCTGAGAACATTGCATGCTAAGGGCCTAGGACAGATGCTGGCACACTGTGAGCATTCCGTGCGTAGAAAACATTGTTGGATTCATCTTGGAGTATAGTGTTATTTCATGGTGTTTCTAATGGCATGATTAAACTTTACTTGCTGCATCCAGTTCGGATAACTATTTTAAAATTGGGTCCCCTGAGTATGTATTGAGCATGTAAAGTAAATAATAGTTTGACCTTAAAGCACCAGTTTTCTCTTCCTGCCTGACAGAGAAAACATTGTTTATTCCCATTCTGCCTGGGAACAATCCAGGTCCCTGAGGACTGATGGGGTGAATCCTTGAAATGAACTGAAAGTAAAACCTAGCCCAGCAGGACCGTTTTCTAGAGTGCACAGACTTGAGCCCCATGGCTCTAAGACTAAAGTGAATCCAGTTAACATGCTCTATGTGTTTTATCTACCTAGATCTCCTACCCCATCAAAGCAACAGAAAAGACATCTATACAGAATGCCAAGGAAATTGAAAATGCTGCCATCGATCCTGAAGACAAATGGCATCAAAGAGCACAACAGCTAAAGGTTACCTGCTAGATTGCGTTTTAAGTGTGTTTCAAGCGATACTGCTGAATATAAGTAATGATCGTGACTGAGTTCTTATTACTTAAGGGTTTATTTTTATGTCTGAGAATGACTACCCACCTTCCTATGGGTGAGACTGGCTTCTGCTCAGAGGAGCCATTGCCTGCTCAGCCAGCCAACCCTACCTGTTTTTCCAAGGATTCTGTTTGCTGGAAGAAAATAATCATACCACACTTTAAACATACTGAGTTAAAACCCCACACAGAAGGAAGGCATGGGGACTGGGCACGGTAGGTGGCTCATGCCCTGTAATCCCAGAACTTTGGGAGGCCAAGGAGGGCAGATTATGAGGTCAGGAGCTTGAAACCAGCCTGACCAACATGGTGAAACCCCATCTCTACTAAAAATACAAAAATTAGCCAGGTATGGTGGTGCACACCTGTAATCCCAGCTACTCAGGAGGCTGAGACAGGAGAATTGCTTGAACCTGGAAGGCAGAGGTTGCACTGAGCCAAGGTTGCACCACTGCACTCCAACCTGGGCAACAAAGCGAGACTTCATCTGAAAAAAAAAAAAAAGGAAAGAAAAAGAAGGGAGACATGGAAAGACATGCAGGAAAAATCACAGTTCCCAAGAATTGTCCAATTCTGTGCAACTTTCACGTGTGATTCCTTTTGGAGTTGGCAGTTACTTATTATTCCAGATGATGGGGACACTATTTCTAAAAAAACAAAATGGATGGGAATTCCCAGAGCCTCAATTCTCCACACTGGTTTTCTAGAAGAAACAGAAAAAGGCCAGGCATAGTGGCTCACACCGGTATTCCCAGCACTTTGGGAGGCCAAGACAGGTGGATCACCTGAGGTCAGGAGTTCGAGATCAGCTTGGCCAACATGGTGAAACCCTGTCTCTACTAAAAATACAAAAATTATCCAGGCATGATGGTGCTCACCTGTAGTCCCAGCTACATGGGAGGCTGAGGCAGGAGAATTGCTTGAACCTGGGAGGTGGAGGTTGCAATGAGCTGAGATCACGGCACTGTACTCCAGCCTAGGTGACAGAACGAGACACCATTTCAAAAAAAAAAAAAAAAGAAAGAAAGGAAAGAAAAGAAACAGAAAAAGCACTGTAAGCTGAGGGTCAATGTGGAGCCCACCTTGGACCAAGTTTTATCCCTGCTAAGAAGAGATGAGTCCTTTGAAATTACTGAGCTTATAGAGCCTGTTGACACCAGTTAAAACTAAGTACAGTGATAATCATAGTAATAAAAATAGTAAGTTTTATCCCAGCTTCAGGGAGGTTACAAAGAAGGGACAGCCCAAATCATCTCTTTTCCTCCCCGGTGGCCTCCAGGCCGCTCTTAAGAGTTGCAAAAAAAGAAATAAAAAGTCATTCACCCAGAGCTTCCTGAAAGTTGATGCCAGTGAGGCCACACCTAGAAGCTGAGAGGATGGGGACTGAAATGGCTCATAGCAGTGGGGTGTACAGGACAGGATCCACTCCCAGACCTGACAGAGAGCCAGGGGAGCTTGGTCAACAGGAACCAGGACAAAGGAAATACCTTAAGGCTTGCCATGCATTATGGGTAATGGCTGGGTCACAGGAGATGAATTTCTGGGCCTCAACCTGCTATTTACTTGATGCATGACTAGACAAACCTCAACTTTTTCAAAGCCTTAAGTTTCTTCTTTATTAAACAAAGGATTAGCCTAAATGGTCTTTAAGGTCCATCACAGCTGCAAAATGCTAGAATTCTATGACCATGTATTTCTAGTTATTTAAATTACTATAGAAAATACATTTGAAGCATGTAAGATTATTGTAACCTGTAGCTTTCATAATTGTCACTAAGGAAAACCATAGGATTCTCAGCTAATGATAAAATGATCATTAGGTAAAAAGCTTTGCCCAGTGGCAATATCATAACTAGTGCAGTTTATACAAGGTACATTTATTGCTAACTGAAAACTTTGCCTAATACCCACCATGAAAACTTGAAATATAGTTGGCATTGGCAATTTTTGATAGTCTCTATGGAGACTGAAAAAAATAATAATAATCAAGGTAAAATCACAGTGCTTGATTTATGGCATGACCTTTGACAGAGGCAGTAAAACTTTTGTATGGAAGAAATTCAGAAGAAAGCCAAAAGAAGCTGGGCACAGTGGCTCACGCCTATAATGCCAGCACTTTGGGAGGCAGAGGTGGGCAGATCACCTGAGGTTGGGAGTTCAAGACCAGCCTGACCAACATGTAGAAACCCATCTTTACTAAAAATACAAAATTAGCCAGGCATGGTGGTGCATGCTTGTAATCCCAGCTACTCGGGACGCTGAGGCAGTATAATCGCTTGAACTTGGGAGGCGGAGGTTGCAGTGAGCCGCGATCACACCATTGCACTTCATACTGGGCAACAGGAGTGAAAGTCCATCTTGGGGGTGGGGAAGAGAAAGTCAAAAGAATGCTTCTTATTCAATGTGTATACTGTAATTAATGTGCTTATAACCCATTCCTGAATGAAGACATTGCGGAGCAAAACATCTAAAGAGTGTTAGATCTAAAATGACAATAACAACGAATGGCCTAAGGGATGTTTTCCATTCTTTAGGTGGAAAGAATTTGTGAACTGCCCAGCACTCTGGTACACAGACACTTCAGGCTGCCTTTCTTTTTCCTCTTCAACTACCCTAGTCCAATGCCCTCTTTTTAGTGCTCCCTCAAGGGCCACCTCTGCATGGAGATTCCCAGCCTCTCCCACCCCACTCCTCTGCCCTCAGTTCCTGCTGTGTCTATTGTCTGGACCACTGGCTCAGGGGCTGCCATATTTGGCCAGTCTCATTAGCTGCTCCCTGTATTTCTTTCTTTCTTTTTCTTTTTTGAGACAGTGTATCACTCTTTTTGCCCATGCTGGAGTGCAGTGGCAGGATCTCGGCTCACTGCAACCTCTACCTCCCAGGTTCAAGTGATTCTCCTGCCTCAGCCTCCCAAGTAGCCAAGACTACAAGACACCATGTCCGGCTAATTTATTTATTTTTAGTAGAGACGAGGTTTCACTATGTTGGTCAGGCTGGTCTCACACTCCTGACCTCAGGTGATCCACCTGCCTTGGCCTCCCAAAGTGCTGGGATTATAGGCATGAGCCACCGAGCCTGTGTTTCTTTTGTACCTACTATACTACAAGAACTTTAAAGGTACTGATTGTATTTTTCTCTACATTACCTACCACAATGCTTTGCCCAAGGCTGATACTCAATAAATATTTACTGACTGATTAAAGAAACATTAAAGATCACGGGCCAGGCACAGTGGCTCATGCGTATAATCCTATTGCTTTGGAAGGCCAAAGAGGGAAGACTGCTAGAGGCCAGGAATTCAATGTTATAGATGTCACTGTACTCCAGCCTGGGCAATAGAGCAAGACTCTGTCTCTAAAAAATACAAAATACAGATAAAAAGATTATTTAGTATATCTTCAAGGGAAAATAGGCCTTGTTTGAAATTTCTTTCTTGAAAGATGACTTTCAAAGTTTCATAAACCTACCCTAACAACAATAACCCTCACTAATGCAAAATATCTTTATGCAAAATCAAAATATTTCACACAGCAAATATTTATTGAGTATCTATTACATTTTAGGCACTGTGGATTAGATGCCTGGCCCAAAAGGATATGGTTTAAAGAAAAAAAGCAAACAAACAACAAAAATTCTTTAAAATAGTAAGCAAAACTTGAAGAAAGGTGGTTTGTTTGTTTTTTTTGTTTTTTGTTTTTTGTTTTTTTGTGTGTGTGAAGTGGTACCTCCTCTCCAGGAGTTCAGCACTTTAGTGAGAATACAGTTATGTAATCATTATAATGCAGTAATATGGACGTGAGCACAAAATGCAGTGGAACTAAAAGTGCACCTAATTCTGCCCTAGGAAGACAGAGAAATACCCCCCATAGGAGTCAGTATCTCAGCTGCCCCTAGAAGGACAAATGCGGGCAAAGGTGTGAAAGCAGAAGGAGGAATGAGGAACCATGACAGCTCCCGCTGCTGTTCGTATGGTCTAGGGAGGGAAAAGTTGACATAGTTGGTAAGTGCTGCTGTCTGCCTTATGTATCCCAGGACTCAGACGGTGCTGTGGTGAAGACACTGTTCTAATCTAAGCAGGTACCAGCAGTGAGGTGCTGTGCAAGGGGCATTACACCCACAGCTCACACATATGGAAGGCTCCATGGCTCGGAAAAACTAAATACCAAAAATGCAAACAATAATAATTACATACATGTAGATAGATGCATGTTTGTGTGTTTATGTGTGGAGTGATGGAGAAAATGATGAAATGTGACCCAATGTTTCAAATTGTTCAATCTGGATAAAAATCTTTTAGAGTTGGCCGGGCACGGTGGCTCAAGCTTGTAATCCCAGCACTTTGGGAGGCCGAGGCGGGTGGATCACGAGGTCAAGAGATCGAGACCATCCTGGTCAACATGGTGAAACCCCGTCTCTACTAAAAATACAAAAATTAGCTGGGCATGGTGGTGCGTGCCTGTAATCCCAGCTACTCAGGAGGTTGAGGCAGGAGAATTGCCTGAACCCAGGAGGCAGAGGTTGCGGTGAGCCGAGATCGCACCATTGCACTCCAGCCTGGGTAACAAGAGCGAAACTCCGCCTAAAAAAAAAAAAAAAAGTATCTGTTCATATCCTTCGCCCATTTTTGAATAGGCTCGTTTGTTTTTTTCTTGTAGATCTGCTTTAGTTCTTTGTAAATTCTGGATATCAGCCCCTTGTCAGATGGGTAGGCTGCAAAAATTTTTTCCCATTCTGTTGGTTGCCCATTCACTCTACTGACTGTTTCTTTTGCCGTGCAGAAGCTGTGGAGTTTGATTAGGTCCCATTTGTCTATTTTGGCTTTTGTTGCCATTGCTTTTGGCGTTTTGGTCATGAAGTCCTTGCCTACACCTATGTCCTGAATGGTTTTGCCTAGATTTTCTTCTAAGGTTTTTATGGTATTAGGTCTGATGTTTAAGTCTTTAATCCATGGGGGGAAATGGGGGAGGGGCGGGGGGGTGGGGAGGTGGGAAGAGATAGCATGGGGAGAAATGACAGATACAGGTGAGGGGACGGAAGGCAGCAAACCACACTGCCAAGTGTGTACCTATGCAACAATCTTGCATGTTCATCACATGTACCCCAAAACCTAAAATGCAAAAAAAAAAAAAAAAATCTTTTAGAGTTGTCCGTACTAGCAGTTTTTCTGCAAGTTTGAAATAACTCGAAAATAAAAAGGTCAAGAAAAATGTGCCCATGGGATTTGGTGACTAAAAGTTTGTTGGTGGCCTGAGCAGAGCAATTTCAGCGGGATGGAGAGAAGGAATGTGCTACGGCAGAGGGCAGAGGTCAGCATAAGAGATGCAGAGCAGCGGCCAGTGCAGCCAACACCGCTGGGAATTGAGAAAGAGATAGCTTTTTGTTGTTGTTGTTTCTGTTTTTTGAGACAGAATCTTGCTCTGTCACCCAGGCTTGGGTACAGTGTCATGATCTCAGCTCACTGCAACCTCTGCCTCCCAGGTTCAAGCGACTCTCCTGACTCAGCCTCCCGAGTAACTGGAATTACAGGTTCATGCCACCATGCTCAGCTGAATTTTGTATTTTTATTAGAGACGGGGTTTCACCATGTTTGCCAAGTTGGTCGCGAACTCCTGACCTCAAGTGATCCACCCGCCTCAGCCTCCCAAAGTGCTGGGATTACAGGCGTAAGCTACTGTGCCCAGCTAAGAAGGAGATAGGATTTAACTAGAGAATGGCATCAAGTGAATATTTCTTTCCTTCTTTTTATAGGAGAGTCTTTTTTTTTTTTTTTTTTTTTTTTTTGAGGCGGAGTTTTGTTCTTGTTACCCAGGCTGGAGTGCAATGGCACTATCTCGGCTCACCGCAACCTCCGCCTCCGGGGCTCAGGCAATTCTCCTGCCTCAGCCTCCTGAGTAGCTGGGATTACAGGCACGCGCCACCATGCCCAGCTAATGTTTGTATTTTTAGTAGAGACGGGGTTTCACCATGTTGACCAGGATGGTCTCGATCTCTTGACCTCATGATCCACCCGCCTCGGCCTCCCAAAGTGCTGGGATTACAGGCTTGAGCCACCGCGCCCGGCCAGGAGAGTCTTAAATACATTTACATGCTAGAAAGAATGAGAAGCCAGAGATAGGGCGAGGCAAGAGAGAAGATATGCCTGAGACCATTTCACCCTGTGTATTTTTACTTTAAAAATACTAAGAATGGTGGTCATCATGATATTCTGTGTAAGAATCTTATCCATGCCTAGAGTCTTCACTTGAAGCCAGGTAATCTCTCTTCATTTAACCTTGCCACATAGGTCTTAGTGTCCTGAATCACTTTGTGCTTGTCTGTGAATCTTCACAGGTTTTCTGAATCTCACTTCCGTTGTGTTCCCAGACTGAACTCAGTATAAGGCTCAGGACTGTTTCTGGGCAGGGTGAGGGGCACATTCCCACTGGCAGAAGATCTTTCCCGGGTATTTTAGTCCTTTTGTGCTGTTATATCAAAGTACCATAGACCAGGTGGCTTATAAACAGAGATTTTTTTCACGGTTTTGGAAGCTGGAAGTCCAAGGACAGGGCACTGGAGATTTCCAAGTCTGGTGAGAATCCGCTTCCTCGTTCATTGGTGACATCTTCTCACTGTGTCCTCACACAGTGGAAGGGATGGATGAGCTTCCTTGAGCCTATTTTATAAGGACATCAATCCCATGCAGGAGAGTTCTGCCCTCCTGACCTAGTCACCTTAAAAAGACCCCACCTTTAAATAGCGTCACCTTGGAGGTTAGGATAAACGTACGCGTTTAGGGAGGATACAAACATTCACACCATGGCACCAGGCAAGAAACATGTCAGTAGAAAAAAATAAAAAGTTCCCCAGGTAAGTAATGCTTCAAAAGGATAAATAGGATGCGTTCTTTGTTATCCCTCTAAAATAACTCTTAAATTTCCAGGCAAAGAAAAGGTAATGATAGTATGAAAGATATTGTAGGACCTTTTACTCATTCATATAAAGCCCTTGTAATCAAATCCTAAGTAATCGTTCCACCTTTCCAAAGAGCTGTTAATTTGGTTTTGCCTCCAACACTTTTGATGTTCTCTAACATTATCACTATCTGCTTCTTCTATTCATCTGAACACAGAGTTCTTCCTTACCCACAGAGAAAAGTAGAGCCAATTAGTATTTTTGCCTGAGATTCTCTTAATATTATCAGATGGAATTTGTATCTCAATCTCAAGGTATTCGTATTTTATTGTTCATACACACAGCAGAGAGCAAAACACAACACAAATGTCTCCACTTTAGAGCTCATCTCAGCCCAGGCACAGCTCTCAGTACTCCATGGTTGAGTCAGGTTAACTCAGAGCAGGAGTGGCTTTTGTGTTGAGGCAGATGAACTTTTTGGTTGCGATCAGAGCATGCATTGTCCCATCTGCTTATGACATGTGAAAAGGGAAGCCGTAAAAGAGAAACAGCCAGGTGCTGCCTTTCACAGGGTTGGGTGCAAACTTCTCATGGTTGGCGCAGTATGAATGAGCATTAATAACTAAGGATGAGTCCTAGTAAGAAATTATCATCCCCGCATTAGGCATCAGGATTCCCCCATGCTAACACTCTGCGTGTGACATAAAAACCTACTCCCATTAAGCAGTTATTCTGAGTGCATGTAGTATGCACTGATTGCGAGTGTTGGTAACAAAAGAACCCCAGTGAGAGCAGGATGGAATAGAGGATTTCAGTGCTGATGGAGATTAAATTGTTGGAGAATGGCTTTGTATATTAACTTCAGGGAACTCAGGTCTTGCCACCTAAAGAGTGACACCTGATGCCCCAATTGTAGGGTAATAAATCTTCAGTAAACCATAGATCTCAAGTAGGCTGCTTGGAAGGTGAGAAAAATCATATCAAGCCCATAAATGCCTTCCTTTCCGGGGACTGAAATGCCATCTCTGGGCACTTATATTTATGTGAATAGCGGGTTTAACACTTGAGACAATTGAAGTTTCATAAAATGATGAGTCCTTGGCCTTGTCAAAGCACCCTGTGAAGAGTACTTTTATGATCTGAATTGTCGGCAGCAAAGGTAATAACGAGATTAAGATCAAGTGGTAACCCAGGATTTCAGATCTAGTACCCAAGAAAAGAAATTTCTGAGACGTAGGTATTTTCTTTTTTGGTGAAAATTAAGAGAGAAAGCTAGGAAAAGTACATGTAGATGGCAGCATCCTGGTTATTTCTCTAGTGAGTTAAAGGCTGAACAAATATTGAAAAGAATGACATTATCAACATCAATTAACATTTTTAGGTCGAAGTCAAGGGGGGCGTTTTTTACCTTCATGAACAGTGCTGCCAGCCGTAAAAAGAGCTGCTATGTTTCACAACCACACCTATAACACTGTAAGACAGCAATTATTTTTCTGGATCCATTACAAGGAAGGACTTTCTTGGAGCTATTACTTGCAGAGCCTTCCTGCCCACATTTCCCCATGCAGCTCAATTTCTGCATGGGAGGAATACTTGTAATTTACCTGGAATACAGAAAAGAAGCTTTTAATGTTCTCCTTTTTTTGGAGCACCACAAGTAAAAATTTAGAGTATACTGGAGCTAATCAGAGCCTGGCCAATCCCCTAGAAAGCTCAAATTCTCAAAGAACGACTTCTAAATTTCAAATTAGAAACCATTATTTTTTAAAAATACAATATAAGTAATATTGCATATTACTGTTTTAAATTTAATAATCTCAACATTATCATTATAATGTGATTTTACTAGAAATAGAACACTACTTAATATTATGTAGGAATAAGATGAGTCTTAATAATTGTATCAGAATGTATCAGAAAAGTGAAATCAAAGCTGAACTCTTATCACAGTAATTTGATCATTCTTTTTGGCAAGGTAAAATAATCATTCATCTAATTGTTGCATTTTTCAGTTAATGTTTTATAGATATAAGCCAAAGAGATTTTTAAAATATAAGTGTTCAGAAAGGAAGAAATATGTTGCAGTTATATAATACACTGATGCATATGGTCATCCTCCTGCTTTCAATAAGCATTTAATCATTCTTTGCAAAGGTCTCTTAACTCAGCTAGTTTTTCACAAAGTAATGAGTGCTTTATTCCTTGGAAAATATTTCTAAACGGCAATAGCACGATATAGTTACATAGTGTATCTATTATACCAGGAGTACATTTTGTTGTTAGGAGACTTTGAAAAGCATAAAGACTGTACTGAAATTGAAATATTTCCCCCAGATGTTTGATTGCCTAAGTGCAGGCTATATTAAGGAACAGAAGCAAAACAACCCTTGTGGTTTCACAGATGTCCTATCACAGTACAGACTCTTTTATAATCCTCTGAATAAAATCTAATTTGTTTCATCTGGTGAAGAGGTCATTTCTAGCTTCTAACCAGCATGAGTAAAAAGATTTGATCATCTGAGTTGTATTTAATATTAAATTTGTACTTGGTTTGTAAAGCAAATTATTAGTGTTTTCTGGTTAAGATTTTTAAAAACATTCATGTTACTTAAAATAAGCTTGCATATTGTGACGCAGATTCACTTTCGTACTTTATCTGCGTCTCTTGAGGTAACCAGCTTCCCCACCCCTTCCCAAGTTGGCAACACTTTTACATCAAAGACTTAGTTTTTAAAACTTAAACTTTTAAGCCAAAGACTTGTCCTTAATATAAAGCCCATTCTAAGCTTTCTATTTCTTTCTAGGCTTATAATCCTAAATTTCCAGGAGGAATCACCCAGCTACTCACTCTCCAATTGCCTGAAATTAGAACAAAATCCTCTACTTTTTCTTTATTTGTTTTCAGTTCTTTGGTCACCTTCCTAGAAGTCTCAATGCCCAATATGAAAAATGCTAATTTAAAATTTGTGAAGAGTGCCAGTCTTCCAATTTTACATTAACCCAAAATATCTCTTTAGAATTACCAGGAACACTGGTCTCAATATGAAAGTACCAAATCAAGCAATGTACCAAGAGGGCAACCTTCTGAAACGGTGAATGACCATCAACCTTCCAGAAGACCAGCCAAGCCCAAGATTCGAAAACAGCATAAACACCAGAATGGCCTGAAGTCTTTCACAAAGGAGGTGGTGATTGCCAGTCAGGGGAACCAGAATAACTCTCCCAGGCAGCAACAAAACGTAAATAAGCCTCTTGATATTTCAACAAAGCATGAATCGATTGTGATTATGCATGCCTCTAACAATGACTTACAAGACTCAAGGGCACTTAGGAGCCAGAATCTCAAAGAAACCTCTCATACATTTACTCCACCAAAACAAGCTTCTGACAAGGTCTTATATAAAAACTCTACTGGATATGACTCCGGGCTGAATGTTAATGAAGAAAGAGAACACAAAGAACAAGAAGAGAAAAGATTTTCATATCAGCAGCTACACGCCAACACCCTTTCTGATATGGATTTGAACAACCTTAATGAACTTTCTAAGAGACACGTGCTCCTGAGCCAGAAAGGCTCTCAGTTTGTTTATCACAAAAATGTTCATGGATCAACCGAAAATAAGAAACAACCCCAACAGCCTTACACAGAGACAAGATATAAAAACTTAGAAATGCTATGGTAAGAATTCTTTTTTCTCAAGTGGTTTTCTAGAGGAGAAAGGAGAGGCTGCTGCAGAAAGACAGGAGAGGGAGAAGGGGAAGGTGACTTCATAGGGATGGACAGGTGAGAAGATTTCACCTGACAGCTTCCTTAGCTCTGAGTCCTGCCTCAAAGAGTCCTTTTTTCCTTTTCTTTTCTTTTCTTTTCTTTTTTTTTTTTTTTTTTTTTTTTTGAGACAGAGTCTTACTCTGTGGCCCAGGCTGAAGTGCAGCAGTGTGATCTCAGCTCACTGCAACCTCTGCTTCCTGGGTTCAAGCAATTCTCCTGCCTCAGCCTCCCAAGTAGCTGGGAGTACAGGCATTCACTACCACATCAGGCTAATTTTTGTATTTTTAATAGAGATGATGGGGTTTCACCATGTTGGCCAGGCTGATCTCAAGTGATCTACTTGCCTCAGCCTCCCAAACTGTTGGGATTACAGGCGTGAGCCATCGCGCCTGGCCAAGAGTCTACTTTTGATACATTTCTTTTCCTCTTCCCTGTCCCCTCTGTTTTTCCACTGTAGTTAAACTAGAAGTTGGAGGTAGAGGAGGACAGAGGGACCCAGCCAAAAAACCTCAGTGTGTTTTCAGGGTTGCAAGTGTTTGGAGGAAACAAATGATCTCCAACATTAGCATGGCCTATCCTGAGAAAATAATCTAAAATATAGAAAAATACGTATGTACAAAAATATCTCCATTTATAGAAGTGACCTAAAAATCTAATAATAGGGAATGTTTAGGTAAATTATGATATTTAGCATCATGGAACCACTAAAAATTATGGTTGTGAGGAAATGCTTCTATAGGAAGAAAATAGCAAAGTACAAAATTACACCTTTGGTTGCCTGACACTGGTGGGATAAAAACTACATTTAAGGAGTATGAGCTCTACTGTGTTAAAATATGCACAGAAGAAAAATTTACCAAAATGCCGATAGTAGTTATCTCTAGCAAGAGAGATTGGGATTTTAAAAATTTATTCTTTATATTTTCAGAACAGTTCAAGTTCCCTACAATGTAGAAGTATAACTTCTATTAACAGGAAAATGAAAGTTATTTTAAAAATTACTTCAGGCACCACTTCTTGGTGTTCTTCAATTAAACATGCTTTCTTCGCACCTAATGTGCTGAATATAATACTACAATACTAAATACTATACAAGGTACAAAAAGTATGGTGTGTGGGACACCTTCAAGGAACTTACTTTCAAAATTGGGAGACAATTATTCCTCCGTGAGTTGATCAGAGAACATTTAAGTGCTACACTTTGTGGTATGAAATGTACATTTAATAAGATTTAAAATTAGCTCCCTAGAAGAGATCATGGTAAGTAGGAAGCATCTTTGTCTTTTTATTTTTTATATTTTTATTTTAGAGAGATTGTTTCTAAAACTTTTACCATTAAAAATAATATTTAGTTTTTAGTAGATAGATAAATAGATGATAGATAGGAAATTTCCTCCTATTCCTCTTTGGAAAGAACTTTTATCATAAATGGGTATTCGATCTTATCAAATACTTTTTCTGCATTAATTGAAACATTTCTCCATTAATCCTTTAATGTGATGAAATATGTTAACAGATTTTCTGATGATGCACTATCCTTTTTTTTTTTTTTTTTTTTTTTTTTTTGAGATGGAGTTTCGCTCTTGTTACCCAGGCTGGAGTGCAATAGCGCGATCTTGGCTCACAGCAACCTCCGCCTCCTGAGTTCAGGCAATTCTTCTGCCTCAGCCTCCTGAGTAGCTGGAGGCATGCGCTACCATGCCCAGCTAATTTTTTGTATTTTAGTAGAGACGGGTTTCACCATGTTGACCAGGATGGTCTCGATCTCTTGACCTCGTGATCCACCCGCCTTGGCCTCCCACAGTGCTGGGATTACAGGCTTGAGCCACCGTGCCTGGCCGATCTGAACTATCCTTTTATATCGAGGGTTAACCCAGTTAGTCATACTGCATTTTTAATAAGTTGCTTTATTTGATGTGTTAGCACTTTGTTTAGGAGTTAACATTTTCATATACGTAAAGTGAGACTGGCTTGTAATTTTCCTTTCTGCCACTGGCCTTGACTGGGTGGGTTATCAAGATAATACCAGCCTTATAAAATGAGTTGAGGATTATTTCCTCTTTTTGCATCTTCTGGGACACTGTATATACAGTTGGCCTTATCTGTTACTTGAAGTTTTGATGATAGAATTTTCCTCTAAAACTATTGGACCATGGGTGGGTTTCCTTTGGCTTTTTATTGTTGTTTGTGAGCAGATTTTAAATTCCTGATGCACTTACTGTAAGTGTTATAAAACTTTGCCTTCTTTTCATTTTCTCTTTAATCAGTTTAATAAATTATGTTTTCTAGCAAAAATTTTCCTTTTATGCTAAGCTTTAAAATGTACTGTCATAAAGCTTTTCATAGTATTTAAATAACTTTAATATTCACCTTTATTATATCTGTAATCATGTCCCTTTTTTAAATTTCTTTTAAAAAAAAATTTTTTTTTGGCAGCCTCAACCTCCTGAACTTCTTTTGCTTAATTTTCTCTGTACATTTAGCTAACGGATCCTACACTTTTGAGTAGCCTCTTAGTATAAGTTTCCGTAAGGACAACCCCATGGGTCAGTTTCTTAATTCTGGTCTCTTTCTTGGAGACAGACTTTCTTTCTTTCTTTCTTTCTTTCTTTCTTTCTTTCTTTCTTTCTTTCTTTTTTAGCAGGGTAGGATCTCACTCTGTCACCCAGACTGGAGTACAGCGGAGAGACCTCTGCTCACTGCAACTTCTGCCTCCCAGGTTCAAGTGATTCTCCTGCCTCAGCCTCCCGAGTAGCTGGAATTTCAGGCAGGCACCACCACACCCAGCTAATTTTTGTATTTTTTAGTAGAGGCGGGTTTCCCCATGTTGGCCAGACTAGTCACGAACTTCTGGCCTGAAGTGATCCACCCACCTCGGCCACCCAAAGGGCTGGGATTGCAGGCATGAGCCACCTTGCCCGGCCAGAGGCGGACTTTCTAGAGACCTTTACTTTCTTTCTCTTTCTAGACTTGCTACAAAGCTATCCTGCTGAGGATTCCCTTTGCCTTTCCTCTGATAGGATTCCCTTTTTCAGTATCTCACATTTTCCTTATTTTGTTTGAGCGCCCCTTCTGGTGTCTTCTTCAGATTGGAAATGTGGTATAAGGACAGGGGACAGGGTGATGGGCAATTCTCAGCGTGCCAGTGTCTTGTGCCATACTTGTTTTCTGACTGCATTCCACTCTTGTGCTCATATTATCCTTGAGAATCTCCATGTCCTCAAGGAGACTCTCTTCACTCTTCTCCTGTTTTTTCCATCCCCGTTCTCTTTCTTAGTTTCTCTCTAATTTTGGTAGAGAACACCCTCCATTGCTTGGGAGGTAAATGTTTTGAGATCTTGCAGGACTGAAATTATCTTTGTTCTGCCTTCGCCCCTGATTGGCAGCTTGGCAGAGGATTGTAGAATTCTAGATTGAAAATCATTGTCCCTCAGAATTGCCTTATTGCATCCAGTGTTGCTGTTGAGGAATCTGAAGCCACCTCATTCCTGATCTTTTGTATATAAACTGGTTTTTTTTTTTTTTTTTTTTTTTTCTGGAAGCTTTAGAATATTTTCTTTTTCTCTATTGAAATGAAATTTCTTAATAACATGCCTTGGTATAGGTCTATTTTTGTAGACTGGCCTGGGCCTTTTAAACCTGAAAATGTGCATCCTTCAGTTCTGGGAAAATTTCTTGAGTCGTCTCTTGGGTAGTTCATTTCAACCATTTTCTCTGTTTGCTCTTTCTAGAAACTCCTGTAATTCATATGTGTTCTTCCAGGACTGTCATTAGGATTTTGTTTTCCTTTTCTCTTTTGTTTTCCATTTCTTCGTAATTTTGTTTTACTGTCTGGGAGGGTTTCTCAGTTCTAGCTTCCAACCTTTCTACTGCTATCATATTTGTTGATTTACGAGAGGGTTGTTTTTGTTTTTGTTTTTGTTTTTCTGTTGTTTCTGTTACTGTTTTCTGAATGTTTCTCTTTTTTTTTTTTTTTTTTTTTGAGACGGAGTTTCGCTCTTGTTGCCCAGGCTGGAGTGCAATGGCGCGATCTCGGCTCACCGCAACCTCCGCCTCCTGGGTTCAGGCAATTCTCCTGCCTCAGCCTCCTGAGTAGCTGGGATTACAGGCACGCGCCACCATGCCCAGCTAATTTTTAGTATTTTTAGTAGAGACGGGGTTTCACCATGTTGACCAGGATGGTCTCGATCTCTCGACCTCGTGATCCACCCGCCTCGGCCTCCCAAAGTGCTGGGATTACAGGCTTGAGCCACCGCGCCTGGCCATGTTTCTCTTTTTATAACCCCATGTTTTTGTTCATGGATGCAACATCTTCATGGATTTTTAACAAGGCAAAATAGGGTATAAGGGCCCTTGTGACTGAATTTTTAAGTCTTTTTAATTCCCTGCTTCGTTTCTCTTTCCTCCAGTTCTTTGTCAGGGATGTTTATTTCTCTTCCCCTATTTTGCTGCCTTCCACCTTAGGGCTTGTGTCAGATGTGTGGCAGTTCTTGATTGTCTTCTCGTGATCAGGTACGAGGGACTAGAAAGCTTATTGGAAGCTCTGAGTGACAGTGCTTGTTGACTTTGAGCATCTGCAGAACAATCTGTGGCGGCCATCTGATAGGAGGCCCTTCCTGTAGGTTTTAGGTCTTTTATCTTGGTGGTCAGATTTATTATCTGTGCTTGGTGCTTCACAGGGAGACTTGTTCGCTTCTTCAGAATGAAACCCTCCAGTGAATTTAGCATTGAGTCAGGTATATGTTTTCCATCATCTTCAAACTTTTTAGTCTTCTTATGATTTAGGTATGTCTCTTTTAAATAATATGTTGGATTTTATTTCTTTTTTCATTCTTAAACTCACTTTTAGCTAGTGACTTTAAACTATAGGCCAAGTGCACTGGCTCACACCTTTAATACCAGTATTTTGGGAGGCTGAGAAGGGAGGATTGCTTGAGTCCAAGAGTACAAGACCAGCCTGGATAACACGGCAAAACCCTATGTCTACAAAAATTAGCCTGGCATGGTGGGGTGCACTTGTGGTCACAACTAATTGGGAGGCTGAGGTGGGAGGATCACTTGAGCCCATAAATCAGAGTTTGCAGTCAGCCAAAATCGTGCCACTGCATTTCAGCCTGGGTGACAAACTGAGACACTGTCTCAAAAAAACAAACCAACCACAGAAGCTGCTTACATTTATTGTGGCACTGATACCTTTGAATTTATTTCTACCATCCTAATTTGTCCTTCTGAATCACCCTACTTTCTCTGTACTTCTTTATTTCTTTTATATCCTCTATTAACACGATAGAATTTTATTTTTCCTTCTACTGATTTGCAAGTATATATTCTCTTTATAGTCTTTTATTGTAAGTCACGTACTTAACTAGTCTAACATTAAGTTAATATTTGTATTTTCCTCCAAAACATTTTCAAAATTATGAGATTGTTTTAATCCAGTCACCTTTCCTGTCATATATATTGCTTTGTTCAGCAGCTTGCCTATCACCTTATCTTCAAAATTAGTCACTGCTTTTATTATTGTTGTACAGAGTTAATACTGTGCTATATTTAGCCAATTGTTTATTAATGTCTTTTCTTCACATCCTTTCTTCCATGTTACCCTTTATTGCCGAGCAAAATCCTTTAGAAGTTCTTTTAGCAAGTATGGTAAATTTACATGAACATTTCTTTACATGAACTTACTATTTTGAATTATAGTTTAATATTGTGAAGAATTCAACTCGTTGAAAACATGACTTTTCTGTTTCTTGGTTTCTTATGCTTAGGTATGACATTTTTAATTCAACCTGAGACTCTTCTATAATTCCTAAATCTTAAGATTCATCTCTTTCATAAATTCTGAAAAATCATCACACATATTCCATTTGAATATTATGTCTCTCAAATTTACTCTGTTTTCTCCTGTAGAGAATAGCTGTATGTTAGATTCTCTTCTTCTAGATTGCATGACTTTTTAACTGTTTTTGTTTTACATCTTTTATTTCTCAGTGCTGCTTTGTGAAAAATTTCTTCAGCCAAATTTTCCAGCAGAATAAATCTCTCTTTACCTGTGTCTGATATATGCTCTTTACTGTATTCATTGAGTTTTAAATTTCAATGATGGTATTTTCCATGTCTAGAATTTCTATTTGGTTCTGATTAAAACCTCTGTTTTTTTTTTTTTGTTGTTGTTCCCAAAATACAGGATTTTAAAATATTTCTCAGATTTTTAACTCCTTTTTTCTTTATTTTATTTTATTTATTTTTTTTTTTTGAGATGGAGTTTTGCTCTTGTTACCCAGGCTGGAGTGCAATGGTGCAATCTCGGCTCACCGCAACCTCCGCCTCCTGGGCTCAGGCAATTCTCCTGCCTCAGCCTCCTGAGTGGCTGGGATTACAGGCACACGCCACCATGCCCAGCTAATTTGTAGTATTTTTAGTAGAGACGGGGTTTCACCATGTTAACCAGGATGGTCTTGATCTCTTGACCTCGTGATCCACCCGCCTCGGCCTCCCAAAGTGCTGGGATTACAGGCTTGAGCCACCGCGCCCGGCCCCTTTTCTCATGTTTTTAATCATCTTAACCTGCCTTATGAATGTTATCTAATATTCTATTATCTGAAGTTCTTGGAAGTCTACTATCGCTATTTGCATGTGTGTGCATGTGTGTCTGCTGACTGTCGTACTTGGTAGATGATTTCCTCCTATGGGCAAGGACTTTGGATTGTGAACTTATGTTTAGCCACCTTTTCCGTGGAAACCTAGGCAGGCTTGGGTGGGAGTGTATCTCTGCAAAGAAGTTTTGTATTTGCTTCTGCCGTTTACTACAGAAGTATCCCTTATTCAAGATCATTTTTATATTAGTTTCTTGGTGTTGGATTTCCATGATTATGTGGGCAAGGTAAATTTGAATTCCAAATATTGTCCTATAGATATTCACAAGAGTTTGTTGTTGTCGTTGTCGTTGGGGTTTTTCTGTTTTTGTTTTTGCGGAGAGGGTGGTGGTGTTTTGTTTTGTTTTTTCTCTTCAGAGCCCAGACCGAGACAGACAGGCTTGCTTGTTTTTTTTCGTGGTTGGTGAATGGGTTTTTAATTAATCTAGCTTTTAATTGACGATATAGCACCTCAAGTTATAATCTTCATACAGAGATCTTAGTTCTGATTCCTTGCTTCACACAGGACCAAGATCTTGCATATTCTATGCTGGCAATAACTACTAAAACTCAAGCCTTTAGACCCAAAAGTCTAATAAAGAAAGATATAACTTCAGCTAATCTAAAATCTGCCTTGGTTTTTATTCCTTTTTTGGTTTTGGTCTTTGGAGATTTCTATTTATCTTACAAATGCAACTATATATTTAAAGGATGTTTAATTTAATGCAACATTTCTAGGTATTTTGTAGTGGGAAGGTGTTTGATTTTTCAAAATGGTGTATTTTTCTATTCTGAATGCATTAAACAAAAGTTCCAAATAAAATGTAGAATGTCTTAAGGGGAAAAGAGGAGGAGTTTAAGATAAGTAAGAAAGTAATGTATTCATAAAAAGATTAAGCTAAAAGTCATTAATTTGATTTGGGAGTGAAAAATACATCAAGTTAATGCTTCAGAAAGACTTTTCTGCTACAGGGTCTTATGTATCCAGATTTTATTAATACATTTTTGCTTTTTTTTTTTTATTAAGGAAATTCCATTCTTCTTCTGACAGACAGCCAGTTAGAGCTTCTCCAGATTCATGGCTCACCCAGATAATGGAGCAGCATCAGCAAGCCTTGGTGCAACTGACCGATTTGCAGCCCAGTGAAGGGGCCTTACCCAGCGTCACACTTCCACCTATACTGTCAAGGGTAGAAAGTGAATCCCAACTCAGTTCAGAGAGAAGTCAAAGAAACCAAGCGATAATTAGCCGTAGCAATTCTGAAGGCTATCTGTTTCAGCTGGAAAAGGGAAAAAAGCATAGGAAAAGAAGCCACAGTAAGGTAATAAAAGTGCCATTTTACCCTGTAACCCTTAAAGTTTGAGAATACAGATGGACATTGATTGAATTATAGCCCTGAAGTAGAGATGGTCATGACTGAGTTGCTGCCACAACTGAGTGGCCTAGAGTCCTAAGGAACTTCTTACCCAGACCCTGCTACTCCCTGGGGTTTCCCTCCCCTTCTTTCTAGAAGTTATTGCTGCCAGAGATGCCCATTTCTCTCTCCTGTTGAAGTCATCGTGGCAAGAGGTCTTCATGTGCAGACAGGCAAAATTCCTCCTTTCAACCCCAGTTCAAACGCCCCTTCCTCAGAAAAACTTCCTTACTCCACCCCAAGCCCCATGCTAACCTGAGTCTTCATAGGTTATTAAATAATTTCTTTCCAGGTCATTCTCATATCTTAAAAAGTAGAGAAAGTAGGTTTGAGTGAGTGAAAGTGCCTGTTGCCATTGCATTTCCCCTACCATCTGCCACCGTGAGAACTTACTGTGGCCCTAATCTCAACCCCAGTGACTGAGCTTTCTTCTCAAATGTTAGCTGACCTTTACTGAGTTCTTTTTTTTTTTTTTTTGAGTGGAGTTTCGTTCCTTTTGCCCAGGCTGGAGTGCAATGGCTCGATCTCGGCTCACTGCACCCTCTGCCTCCCTGGTTCAAGTGATTCTCCTGCCTCAGCTTCCCAAGTAGCTGGAATTACAGGCACCCCTTCCCACCATGCCCAGCTAATTTTTGCATTTTTAATAGAGACAGGGTTTCACTACGTTGGCCAGGCTGGTCTTGAACTCCTGACCTCAGGCGATGTGCCTGCCTCCGCCTCCCAAAGTGCTAGGATTTCTGAGTTCTTTGTCTCCTGGCCTGAGTTCTTTGTCTCAACTAAATTCACCATTACTAGCACTTTTGCACACTTTGTCTCCTGGCCTGAGTTCTTTGTCTCAACTAAATTCACCATTACTAGCACTTTTGCACACTTAAATCTATTGTCATAGGGCCTACAAGATTTAGCAACTAAAATTGGGGGCCCAAAGGAGAATGTTTTCAGTAAAAAATGAAGGAGCGTAGAAGGGAGACTTTTTATGTCCTGTGTATTTCTCCACTGTTTCTGGCAATAAAAAGTCCTCAGGAAAGATCACTTGCTTCCAGTATCAAAGAGTAAGAAAAATGCTGGAAAATGCATTCTGTTTTACAGGCAACAGGGAACGGCCTGGTTGAAAGCAAGAGGCCGATGGTGAGTTGGGTTTTCCGGGAACAGACTCTGAAATGAGATTTGCATGCAGGAGGTCGATAGGGAGCAACCTTGGGAACCTCCCCTGTAACAGAGTGCTTTTGTTCTCCCACACCGACCCGCCATTGGGTAGTGACTGGCCCTGGGGAAGGGTGCTGACTTTGGGCACAGCAGCTCCACTTGGCTGCGGGCAGTTTTTAGGGAGGAACTCAACTGTGAGCCATCAGCAGGCAACACTCCCAGCGTCTGGGGAAATGAGTACCTCAGTTTATAAGGGCCTCCACTCTCAGACAACTTGAGAGGAATTAAGCAAATCATTCCTTCGTTGAATTCAGTTTGTTACTAGATAATTTCTAGGCCAGGCACGGTGACTCTTGTAATGCCAGCACTTCAGGAGGCTGAGGCAGGCAGATCACCTGAGGTCAGGAGTTCGAGAATAGCCTGGGCAACATGGTGAAACCACGTCTCTACTAAAATACAAAAATTAGCCAGGCATGGTAGTGGGCACCTGTAATCTCAGCTACTCGGGACGCTAAGGCAGAATAGTCACTTGAACCCAGGAGGCAGAGGTTGCAGTAAGCCGAGATTGTGCCGAGATTGTGCTTGGGCAATAAGAGCAAACTTCCATCTCAAAAACAGTAATAATAATAATAATAATAATAATAATAATTTCCACTAGGAACTTGGAAAGTGCTGGGTTGTAGAGATGAGCCATGAGCCTTCCTCAGAAGAAGCTTCCAGTTGCATGGAACTTGGGAAGACAGACGTGTTAATGCCTATTATGTTACAGTAAATGTTGCAAGCAAAAAACAAATAATGATATTAACCAATAATAAAAGTAATAATAATGATGTAGGCATGCATGGGTAGCACAGAGGAACATAAAGGAAAACCGATATGCTGCCCTGCGAGTCATAAATTCAATTGACTAAGAAGGGGATGGGAAAAGGAAATTAACATTTAGTTGATGGCTCTTCTTTGCTAGGGACTAAGCTAAGGTTTTTATACATTATTTCACTTACTATCACACCAAATCTACAAAAAGAAAGAATAATTCTGATTGTGCAGATGAAGAAATGAGGGCTCAGGTGAATTAATAACTTGCCCAAGTCATAAGAGATGTTAGGGAACAGAGGTGAGAGAACCTAAGAATGAATGGGTCCGTGACTTCCACTAAAGGACACAAAGCTTCGGAAGAGAATTCCAAACAGAGTCTTAAAGGGTGGGGAAGACTTGGCAAAGAAGACTGCAAGAGCAATTCAGGCCGGAGTACCAACATGAACAAAGGTTCTGAAGCTGTGACATGACGCATGCCGGGGATGAGAGCACTTCAGGTCCTTGTCACTAAACATGGGAGGCAAGGAGTGTTGAAAAATGGGAGCCGAGTGGGGATAGGGGCCAGGTCTTAGAGGATCTCATTTTCCACAAAAGAAGTACTCTCTTCTGTAGGCCAGAGGGGACCATGGAGGAATTTTAAACATGGTTGGATTCGTATTTTGGAAAGGCAGCTCTGGCTATGGTGTGCAGGGCGGATGCAAGACATCCCAGAAAGTGATGGGATTATGAAGTCAGTGGATCCTCAAGTGGGGCCTTTAGAAAAAAAGATAAGGCCTCAGAAAGAAGGGGAAGCTGGCCTGGAATAGGCATCGAGAGATACTAACGAGTAAAAAAGGAGGATAGCTTGGGGCTGAGATATGACCCCAGTCCAATCCTGCAGCTCCCATCTTGAGCCCCTCTGTGTAGCCCAGGTCTTCACCTCACAACCCTAGAGTTCTTACCCCAGCTCCTTCATGTACTTACCTGGGGGTTCTTTGAACTCTTCATTCCAACTTCACTCTCTCACGTCCTCCCCTCTGCTGGGGACCCTAATCCATGCCCACACTGTGGAATCCGCTGCTGGTGACTTACAGCTGGAGAATCTTACGTTCCACTGTAAATAAGGAGAAAGGTGCCTTTTTTATTTTCTTTCCTTTCCTTTTCTCCTTTTTTGTTTTTTTTTTCTTGAGACAGAGTCTCACTTCATTTGCCAGGCCGGAGTGCAGTGAAGCAATCTCGGCTCACTGCAATTTCCACATCCTGGGTTCAAGCGATTCTCCTGCCGCAGCCTCTGAGTAGCAGGGATTACAGGCGTGTGCCACCACACCAGCTGATTTTTGTATGTTTTAGTAGAGACAGGGTTTCACCATGTTGGCCAGGCTGGTCTTGAACTCCTGACCTCAGGTGGTCCACTTGCCTTGGCCTCCCAAATTGCTGCAGTTACAGACGTGAGCCACTGCGCCTAGCCAGAAATGTGTTCTTGAATCACAGGTAACTTCTTTTTCCACAGAAAAATCATTACATGGTAGTTAGGCTGTAAGGTACTATTTGTACTGTTTTCAAGTGTTTTGTGAATAAAATAGGTTTTGAAGACTTGACTAGGAAGCTGGACATCATCCGCATTATTTCTTTAGGGACATGTATTCAGAACACATTCTCAGAGTGAGGACGGCCTGTTCACTACAGAACATGTATGTACTGGGCTTAGAAATTAGCTCAAACACACTAGCTCACAAGAGAATCTTCTAGATTAGGGTTCTTGCCAAATGATGGTTTGTTGCTAAAAATGCAAGCTTTTGAACTCAATTCTGAGTCGGCAAGATTTAGTGGAAGTCACGGACCCATTCATTCCTAGGTTCTCACACCTCTGTTCCCTAATATCTCTTATGACTTGGACAAATTATAATTCACCTGAGCCCTCGTTTCTTCATCTGCACAATCAGAATTATTCTTTCTTTTTGTAGATTTGGTGTGATATTAAGTGAAATAATGTATAAAAACCTTAGCTTAGGTCCGGGCGCGGTGGCTCAAGCCTGTAATCCCAGTACTTTGGGAGGCCGAGGCGGGTGGATCACGAGGTCAAGAGATCGAGACCATCCTGGTCAACATGGTGAAACCCCGTCTCTACTAAAAATACTAAAAATTAGCTGGGCATGGTGGTGCGTGCCTGTAATACCAGCTACTCAGGAGGCTGAGGCAGGAGAATTGCCTGAACCCAGGAGGCGGAGGTTGCGGTGAGCCGAGATCGCGCCATTGCACTCCAGCCTGGGTAACAAGAGCGAAACTCCGTCTCAAAAAAAAAAAAAACCTTAGCTTAGTCCCTAGCAAAGAAGAGCCATCAACTAAATGTTAGTTTCCTTTTCCCATCCCCTTCTTAGTCAATTGAATTTACGTTTTACTGAGAAAAGTAGAGGAAAGTACTCAAATGACAGTATGTGTCACCAGAAATCTAAGAGCATGGGAAGTCAGGGGAGAGGAAGGAAAATTTGCAGTTGCTGCCTTCCCAGCCGACTTTCCAACTGGGAGCATCCCCTCTCCTGCTTTCTATCAGGAACGTTACAATCTATATGTCTGTTTTCTCCGTCCAGCACCTTCTGCTTACATCTGACAAATTCACAGAAGTGCTCTTTGTCCTTTAAGCTATCCCAGAAGCTAAAATGACTTAGAAATGAGCTATTTGTATAGGACAGCAGGTAGTCAAGGCACCAGACAGAGGAGATCATTATCCAGGTCATGCCCATTTGCTGGTCACATCAAATCTTTTGGTTTCCAAGGGAATCGCCCTGAATCACATTAAAAATTTGAGGATTTGTAAAGCTAATAGGCCCAAGCACCCTTCCTCTTCTCCCGACAATTCTGTTGTAACTGAGTTCTGAATGCCAGGCATTGTCCATGCCATGAAATCTAGATGTCAGGCAGTCAGGGATTAACATAGTGCAAGGGATGGCAAACGTCATAAACATATC